TGAGATGAGGGTTTCAAAAGAAAAAGTTATGGGGATCTCCCGTTTTTCAGCGGTTTTTCCCTAAATTTAGTAGAAAAAGTTATGGCCTCAAACCAGCAAGTTTTTTTGACAATTTGTTATTTTTTTAAAAACTCTTTGACTTTTTCTCAGAAGCCACCCTGCCAAATTGTAGATTGAGGGTTAAACCGAAAGAAAAACAATCAGTAATGCGAATGTTTTTAGCGCAAGGGAAGATTTTTTCTACGTTTTGAAAAAAAACATGGCCTTAGAAAATGTCCTTTTTTTGAATTTTAGCACGTTTTTTTATAGAAAGTTATTCTTGTTTTCGCAATATTACCTGCTGATTCTGAAGTTGATCGTTCAATAAAACTAATATGGTGCTTGGATTTTCCCTACCCGCTAGTTTTACCTGTATTTTGTATAAAAAATGATATGGATTTTTGTCATAAATCCTGAAAACTTCTAACTGAATCTGATTTTAAGGGTTTATGTTAAAAATTGGGTGCGGAGATCTTTAAAAAATTAGGGTTTGGAGAGTTGAGGCTATTCCCGTTCTTTAGTAGAGAAAAGTTAACGGATTTAGGAAAAGTCAAATTTTTGATTTTTTGATCGATTTTTGAACTTTGTTCGTTTTTTCGAAAACTACCCAGCCAAATCTAAGATAAAGATTTCAATGAAAAGAGCAAGTATTAGTTTTCTCCCCTAAATAAGCGGTTAATCCCCTACTTAAGCAGAGAACCACAATGGTTTATCTTAAAGTCTATTTTTTGAAATTTTGGAAATTACGCATTTCCGTATCAGTACAATATTTGATTAAAAAGTAACCGGTAGATCCAGCTTTAGCTGGGCCACTAGTTTACTTCCAAGCGACCGTAGCGCAGTTGCGAGCACGTAAGACTCCTAATCAACAGTTCGGATATTTAAATCCGGAACTTTTTAAAAGTTTTGTTTTGTTTAAATTGATAGAAATTGAAGCTGAGTTATTGGTGGCTAGTTTTAGTAAAACTCAAGCGGCCGTGGAGAAAACGTGAGAGCGTGATACTCCTAATCTCAACAATTTTTTTTCAAGGTGTGTTTTTAATCTTTTCCTTATTTCCACTTTGTTTTGCCTGTTTAGAGCTCTTTTTTGCATTTCCCTTGCTTGTTTGCGAAGCGCAGCTTCACCTCTGTGTTTACCATGTCTTTTTGCGTAAATACAATACTGGGCTGAATTATTCCTAGAACTTGGGGAGACTAAAAATCAATCCAATTTACGAAATAATGCTTACAATTTTATCCGTCTGTGGTCCCAACTTGTTTCAACCTCAAATATTTTTTAAACCTCAAATAAACAAGTTTATAGGGAGGTGACCAGGTTTTACAATTTTGCTTAGACTGCGCATTGCTGATTCAGGGAAACATCATTGTGTTTATGAATTGAATAGAAATTCACTTTTCTTTTTTCAAAGCTATATTTAGTGTGCTGTGGGGCGGATGCTACCTGTCAAAAATGTCAAATTAACTGCAGCTTGACTCAAGCAAAAATGACCGTTTTTACGTTCATTCTGTCAGGGTAGCTTGGGGTAAGCTGCGTGCTAATCTAACCACTGTTTAGAGTCAATGAGAAATATCCATCCCAAATTGAACTAGAATTTTGGGGCCAGTGGAAAAAGACTATCCAACAACGTTAGCTTATACCGCTCATGTAAACTTTCGGCCGCTATTGTCATGTTGATGCTGCTCTAGTTTGCTTTTTGACTAAAAATTTTTATTTTTAGAAATCAGAGAATTTTTGGGCAGAAACACTTTGCAATCATACTAACTGAGAGATTCGATAAAAGACAGATGAGCTATTTTGCGAAAACTTTTTCTATCTTATTTCTTTCGAACTATTAGTTAATTCGATATGTACTACTTCATTTTACTGATAAGTAAATGACCTTTTCATTTGTAAGAATACGTTATGTTCGGCCTAACGCTGTTTCTTTTTGTAGGTCCATGCATCATAGCAGCCTATAATTTGCTCATCTATTTCCCCGTAGTGGTACAGTGCTTTTGGTCTACTATTGATTTTTTGATTTGCCCTCTTTTTGCCTGGATTTGTGACATGAAATTCTATCTGCCATACAATTGCATTTTATACCTGAACCAGCTTTGATTAATTGACTAAATTTCTACAGCTGTAGATAGCCTCATTGGTCGTTGGTTTGTCCTATTTTTTTTTATTTCTGTTGCCGAAAGAATGGCGTTTCTCTTAAGTACAAGAATCACTTTTTTAATGAAATAATTTATTCCATAATTGAAATCTGAACGTTTGTTTAAAAATGAGAAAATGTCAAATTTGAAAATGTCAATTGAATAACGTCTGGCTTGGCAATTTTGGATGCAATCATCTTCAAAGTAGTGGAAAGATTTATTAGTTGCAAACTCGATATGCGTTCTTGAACCTCAATACTTATAAAGGGATTTCAAAACTGAAGTGTCTTTTTGAAGCAACGAGTGAAGTATCAATAAAGACCACGCCAACTCAGACACGACGGCACTAGGGTGATATATTCAATCTCTGCTATTTTATTTGAACAGTTGTCATCTTTTGTTCTTTTTTTAACGGCTAATTCTATCCCTTTCTCAATTTTTTCAAGCTATGTGATATAACGCCATTCAATCCTCTCCTATGTTTCGCTTCTGGTGTAGTTTTTATTATTCCCTTTTCGATCTATTAAGACAAATGGAAAAGGTATTGGGAGCAATAAAAGTGATTTAGATTTTAAATTCTGAATGGAAACTGAGTTTCTGAATGGTACGAGTTACTTTGAATGGAATTCATATGAAAGCAAGGCTGCGAAGTGACGCTAGGTCAGCCGAAAGTCTAGTAATTCGAGTAATGAAGAAAAAGTAATGAAAGTGTCATTTCGCAACATTTATGTTCAAAATGTCACTTGATTATTTTTTTAGTGCGAAAAATATATGTTCAACCTTTGTTGGTTGTTTATTTTAAAAAGTTGAGTAATCGATTGTTCTGTTTCGACTCAAAGTTGAAAGGTTAGTTGTAAGTTGACTTGTAACCTGCTGGTTTGTTTCATAAGATAACTTAATCAGTGCTATTTTATTCTTCTTCCAAGCAGGATGTTAAGCGCTACAGTTTTCCACAATTTCTATCTAACCTGTGTCAAAGAACGCATCGTATCGCCATTTGCTGCTAAATAAGCGGCGCTGCATTTTGTGAAAAAATAATGTTCTATTTCTCAATATAATAAAAGGCAGTACGGATTGTGTAATGCAGTAGACCTAATACAATTCATGCATCTCGCATGGAAGCTGAATTTCTTCTCCTACCTGACATTCGGTCACATGCTCGTTAAATTGATAAGATAGATGGCAACATAGTAGATTTCATTTATATATTTCCAGCTGAGCCGTTGTCATATCGCGCACTGATAAGTTGTTGTATTATCCATATTTACTCCTTCATTTTTTCATGCTCTTCATTCATTCCATCCCCCTTTTTGCAATAAAATAATCAATCACCGCTTCAAACCCCCCCTATGGCACCTGGCATCGAAACCCGTCCCACCCCTTGCCCCTAACCCTTTAAAGGACTTGTCCAAGAATTGAGCTGAATAAGATAGTGAACCTTTTTAGTAGTTCTCTCTTCGCCATAGATGAGGTTTTTTTTAGAGATCCGAAAGTCCTTCTATTCGCTAGATTTTTTCTCAGTCGGCGAAAAAATCGTTGAAACTTGTTTTTTGTTGTTCATCATTTTTGTCGCGATTCCTCGTTTTTTTTGCCAAACTTTCTATTTAAAGTAAATAGTGGGAATAAGTTGCTTAAATTATCAGCGTGGCGAAGAGGAAATTGTGGATAAATTGAGGGAAGTAGGGTTAAACGATCGTTTACCGTTTGATTTGCTTTTCCATCTCACAAAATAAAAGACGAACTTGTTTTTGAAATACATCACAATTTAAATGCAGTTACTGGTCCATTCAATTAGCGAGGCGCTCTTTAATGCATGCTCATTAAAAATAGCTTGAAGGCGTTAATTTAAAAATAAATACGCGCAGTTGGAATTTTCACGTTTTTTCCGCCCTCTCTTACGTAGTGTGTTGTTTGTTCTACAGCAGGTTGCGATTTTCTGGGGGATGGCAACCAAGCTCTGCTTTTCATTTTTAAATAATCCTACAAAATGAACAAAACCGGAAATTTTCAACGAGTTCTTCTCAACTTGGTTTTTTCTGAAACAACGATTTTCAACAACAAGTCAATACAAAGTGGAATTTCTTTTGTTGTAAGGTAATTTTTCAACTGGTTGCGTAAGGTGAAACAGGTCAACTGTACAGTCCAGTACCCCAGGCACTGGGAAAATGAATTTTATCAAAAATTTATCTGCGCATCAGAACTTCTGATCCAACGAAATTTTAATATCTAACAAGGAAAGCTGGTAGCACAACGCAATTTTTCTTAACTCTTGTTCTGCAGTCAATAAAAATGATAATGGTTTCTTTTTTAGATGTTAAATTAACTAGTATCACCCATACGTTGCAAGTTTTCAATGAGGAAACGTCTGTTTTGAAGTTATGGCCCAAATTGAATTATTGGTTAAAATTGGAAACAGTTTTCCAATCAGAACAGGTGTCCTATCTCTAGGCTGTGTGATTAAACACTGCAACGGAGTGCGGTCAAAAAGTATACATGTCATAAAGTAGACAGTTCGTATGCCAATCTCAATCGAGTGTAACAAGGAAGACAAATCGTAAGCCAATCACAATCGAGATAAGAATACAAACGTACGAAAAGTTTTCGTTTCTCCATTCTGATTGGCTTACGACTTGTTCACTTTATGGAATGTCGATGTGAACCCACTGCAACTATATTTGCCTTCCGTTGTAGACTAAAATATTTTTATGCAAATGTAAATAAGATTGTGCTTTTTGCATATTTTCAGACAAACCATTTTACAAGCCAAATTTTTTTTCTGAAGTAATGTTGAATTTTAGCGTTAATTCTTTCATTTCCTTATAGATGTTCTGTGTTGTCTTTAAATGAATGTATTATGATATTTTTCTCTGAGCTTAGACTGGGTTCAGCTTCGCAATTCAAGCTTTGAAGCTAAGCTATCATCTGCCGTCTAAAAGTCTGACTGATTCCAGGTTATATGTATTCCAGGGAACAAATTATCTCCCCTATTGAGCCTGTTATTTTTCTTTGAAAGCCATTTAGAGTCCATGTTCTCATAAAGTTTCTTTATATAGAAGTAAATTTCGTTGAATTATAAACCCGAACAGTCATCGAATATCGACAAAAGTCTAAGTGACCTACAAGAAAAACGGCAAACCCGAATACTCAAAACGTAATTTGCAGTGAAAGAAAGCTTTGCTTGCGTAGCAAACAATACGAGTTCAAACTCGAAGTCAACCCACAAGTTACTATAGCAGAGCCAACTTACGATAGAAAACAACCTTGTTTAGTTGTGGACAACTCTTAACTGTTATTCACAGAATCCTTAGCTGGGGAGAATCTTCGGGCGTGTAAGCCGGACAGACCCGAATTTAGCTCAATTAGCAGACATTTCATAGTGCAGAAAGATGAAGGACAGATTGTCGGCTCTGAAGGCGAATGGAGGCGAAGACGATGACAATGATGACGTGGCACTTCCCATGGACGGCAACTCGAAATTCATGGAAGACTTCTTTAGCGAGGTGGGTTTTTTCTAAAATTCTTAAAATTCGTGTACAAAGATGAATCTAATGACCTCATACCTCCCGCACGAATCAAGTTATCTCATAGCGATGAAGAAATTGTGAAGTTAACTCTATTTATTCGCGTAAGAAAAACGCTCGCCGCTTGGCTTATACAAGCTGTTCAAATCTTTCAAAGTTTACTATAGAACTAAGCCCATGTTTTGTCTCTTGAGTTATTGTCTAAGTTGGCGGAAGATATTCTTATCTGGGCGGAGAAGGTTTTTGTCTGTTTTATGATGGGAAAAGCCATGTTAACATTATCCTACGTGTTTTTTGGTGTCAGGAAACAGGTTGAAATTAACCCTGAGCAGATCAACTTTTGAGGAGGATTCTCAAGCGGATATAGTTGAAGTAAAATAGGGAGACTGGTCTATTACGTTAGGCTCATTCTAATTTAGCATTGTCTAATATTAATTGAATGCGTTTGAAGTATAGGCAATAGCACCCACATTATAGTCTTCAACAGATTACGTCTGTTCTGATAATTGAAGCATTTTTGCTCAAATGATAATGCGGCTTAATCATCGCTTGCCCTTTGATAAATCTCAATGGGAATTTCGTTCGGACCTTTAAAAAAAGTTGTGATCAACCTACGTTTTATAGTTTGACATATCTTATTTCGAAAGGAACCAAATTGAGTACGCGAGGTGGCAAAAAAAGTTCTTCGTTGAAATGATTTAAGACCTCTTTAACTACTCACCCTTGCTATTCACATGTAACGAAGAGTTGGGCGACAACTCGTGGCAGGCGGCGATTCGTAACAAGGCATTGTCAAAGGCAAACGCTTGCTCCGCTGCGCTTGCGTTGTGTTTGCAGCTTTCTCTTCTGATAGTCGATTCAAAGCGTACTCTTTTTTTTTTTTAGCTTGCTCGGTTTTAGCTGACTAGATGAATTATCGCCTGTTAACGCTTGCGATTGGCGAGCATTATCAAATCGCAATCGAGACTTTTTCTCTTGAATAATGGGAGAGCGCGTGCACTCCATTAACATGCAATCCATTTACACGCTCAAATTCTTGAATGTTTAAATTATACTACTAGACAAACAGATAATTAAAAAGGGCTCTTTTCCGCTCCCCCCCCCCCCCCCCACATTTCAAATTTTACGTTTTTTACACGTTTTTAAATTGTTACGTGTTATTATGGCTGAACGCGTGATGTTACGAAGTAAGGTATGAAGAACAAATGTGTTCACAGTAGTTAGTTTGTTCACCATGAAAAGTTTCATTACATTATGACAACGTTAAATTGTTTTAGAAACTTGAAATGCAAATGTGGGGAAAGTGGAAAAGAGCCTTAAGAAGTGTCGCGCAGTACACTATACAATGATCCGTTACAAAAAAAATCGTAGCCTATCGTTTGTCTGATTATGTTTCGTTGTTATTGTTGTTGTTGTTGTGGCGTCGTATCCTGCATAGGCAGTCGGTTTTGATTATGTTTCGTCGGTTAAGTTGCCACGCCACATCGGGAATTTTTCGCTCTTTGTACTTCTTTTTAGCTGCAAATGTTTTTGATTTATTTTTTGCTTTTTAAAAGCTTTGTTCGGCCTTAATGGTTTCGTCTTATGTTTTATGGGCTTAATGACTCATTTTTGTCTGATGCAAGGCAACTTTTCAGTCAAAGAGGCAAGTTTCTGTTGTTAGTGGTTTCTAAGATATCATAGGTTTGCATCGATGAATGTCTGATATTTCAGTGCTACCTGCTGCCGCCGTATGATCTTATTAAAAAATTATAGAACATCTTAAATTTTGAAGGAATAGTGAAATCTACGGTTCCAAAGTTTTTAAATTTGTCTTTCTGGTCTTAAAATTTCATAGTATGAGCTATATTTGCCTAATTATATTGCATTCATTGCTGTTTTTATTTTTAGTGTATGATATTAGCGAGAATGATATAGCAGTGGTTAAGGCAACTCATTATAATCGGGGTATTTATGTCTCGATTCCCGTAGTCACCGAAGTTATCGTTTTTTAAGGCTGATGTTCGTATTTTTCTGATTTTTCTCTCGCCCGTTTTATAAAGCCAACTGCTGATTTGTCTTTGCGTGAAGCTTCAGTTAAACGCCAAATGGTTTGCATCGATGAATGTCTGATATTTCAGTGCTAACCGCTGCCGCCGTATTATCTCATTAAAAAATTATAGAACATCTTAAATTTTGAAGGAATAGTGAAATCTACGGCTCCGAAGTTTTTTAATTTGTCTCGCTGGTCTTTCTGATCTATAGAGTTTTAAAAAAGAATTAAGCAAACAAGTCAGTGTGAAAAATATTGGACTAATCTTCGGACTTTGCTTTCATTTTACATATTGACACTTTTAAAACGACACTCAATTTCTTATTACGCTTGCGATAAGCAAGCGTTATCAAGTCGATATATAGACGTTGTAGCAGATTTTTTAATTCGAGGCTTATTTCTCTTTTTTTCTTACTTCATTTTATAGAGCTGCTTTTTTTCGTACTTTTGGTAGTGTTTGCGAGGCGCAGCTTCGCCTCTGTGTTAAAAAAATTAAACTTATTGATCCTTAATTCAGTTAATTATGTGTGTTGCTGCTATGCTGCTGACATTCTCAATTGATTGAAATTTCAAATTTGACTACCTGCTACCAGTAACTATTGGTAAATGCATTATCTAGAATTCTAACCATGCATGTTTAATTATAGATAATCAGTATTTATTTGCTGACTTATTTTCGGCTGCATGGTGGTCGATTTAAGCTCTTTGGGCTTAGTTTTCGATTTATGTGAACCAACTTGCTTACATTAGATAGAGCTGATGGGTTTTATGTGGTTGATACATGCTAGTTTCCAATACAATTTCGCCGAAAGTTTTTGGTTGATTTTTTTTCTTGGCGTCGGTTAGAACAGTTTTGGCTTCGTTGCTTGATATTTTGTTTCCAATAAATTTCCCGTGATATGTTTGAGATCCATTAGATTCTGACCTTAAGTTTTCGAATGCTCAAAAGAAACTCCACAACCCATTCAAATTTTTTGCGTGCTTTTGTTTTTATTTTAATGGTACCATCGTTCGAATTTTTTTTTTTTGCTTTTTGGCGTCAGTTATAACAGTTTCGGCTTCTTTAATTGATTTTGTTTCCAAAAAAAATTCGTTAATATGTTTGAGATCAGTTAAGTTCTGACATCAAGTTTTCGAATGCTCAATAGAAACTCCACAATTCATTATTCAAGTTTTTTACGTGTTTTTTAATTCATATTTTATTGGTACCATCGTTCGAAATATTTTTTGCTGTATCTTGACTTTTATGATGTTTTTATCGTATAATTTTCGCAGTAAATTGAGTTGATGAGATTTGCATCGCAAGTGATGCGAAGCTGAGCTTCCTCTCGGTGTAAGAAAGTTCAAAAAATGTGACGAGCTTTATGTTTTTCAGTCCAAATGTAAATTCAGCCTCGAGGTTTTCTATCAGAGCAATGAAATGCATCTAGCACAAAATGTTCCAACCATTTTCATAAAGATACTAAAACAAACTTTTATTCTTTAAAAGTCGCTTTTTTTTCGTGAGTGGTGTGTTGAGAGAACTACACAAACGCTTATTAATTTAGTGAATTATGCAAAAAAGATGAAAAATAAACAAAAACTTGAAGAAAGTTTTCAAATAATAAATTCTAAAAAATTTAAAAATTTTTTGCACAATTTTTGAAAATTTTTTTAACGATTTTATTGCCAAAGGAGCGACGAATGAATCTTCGCCAACTTTTTTTGATAAACCCAAGTTTTTTTTAGTTCAATTGACCAATTTCAATCAATTTTCGTACAACGAACGCTAATCGATCGAAATTAGACTTAATATCAATTTTATTAATCCAGATTTTCTCGACACTCATTTTTTTTTTTTAATTTTCTAAATGTTCGAATCACGACCGAAAGGGCTTTTATATGATATGTCATTGCGATGATCATTTGTGGTACCTGATTCTACGGAAAATTAAAAAAACACGCTAATACGAAGTTCTCCTCCCCGCTTCTTCAATAGTCGGAACACTAACTGTAATCGAAAAATTTGTGTAAGGAAAACGAGTGTTGAAAACAGAGGAACCGAACTTATGGATTCAATTTGGAATTGTGTTTGTTTGATGATATGTCGGCTTTCGAAGACATTTCGTCAAGATTTCCTTGTCTTTATGTTTTCGTGCTTTGAGAAAACTTGGCTTTTTGTCGATTTCGAAGCTCATGAGTTTCTCAAAACTTCCTTAATTTTTCTGTTGTTTGTGAGCCTCAATTTCTCACGGGTTTTTAAAGAAGCCTGTGCAGCAAAATTTTTAAATTTTTTGAGCTGTGAAGTGTTCAGTATAATAAGCAGCAGTGACGTTGCCCTTTAGTTTTGAGTTTTTAACTTTTTGAATATAAGTAGTCGTAGAGTTCTATATATTTATAATCAGCTTTATATTTGAACTACATTAAAATTGCAGTCTGATTCTTTTTTGGATTTTGTTGCAATCCTAATCACTGCGAAAAGAGTTTCAATATGATGTATTATTCGGTCTCACCCATAATGGAGGAAATTAGCTCCACGAAATAAAAATATAACTTAAATCAGGTCTCTTCTTAAGGCGAACTATTTTCCATTTAAATTTTTTCTCATTAGAACCAGGCGTCTCAACACTGAAAAACCATTCATTGCATTCCGAGTTAACGGTATTAAAAAGTGTATTTTAAATTTGAACCAATCTCATTTATTTGTGAATTTTTATTTTAGGCGGAAAAAACACCCGCTTGCATAGTCCAATCTACAGAACACAATCGCTCGAAAAAGTGTATTTCGTTCTTTGAACGTCATTTCAACCACGTCATTTTTCGGCGGTTAACATAGGATTTTCTTCATAACGAACTCGGTTATTTATTTGTATTCTTGTTGTTGCGTCTTTCGTAACGAAGTAACGGAATATTTGTGCTCGGGGTGGGTTTTTTTTTCTTCAGACAAATTTCGACTTTTTAACTAGCCATTTTTGACGGATTTTTTTTTCAAATCATTCAAAAGGTATTATTGCCCTGAGCTTAAATTTGAAAAGATATTTCACCTGTGATGATTTTTCGTTAAGTTTGGGTGTTTAATTATTGCCAATTTGGGGCAATTAACGCTCGATATATTTCGCGCTATTAAGGCGTAAGAGATTTAATCCGTCTTAGAAATCGTTCCAAATTGGATGAAGGAAGCTTATTTGCCATAATTGATTTGTTACTAGGAGGGATACCTATCATTTTGACTTTTATATGGCGTGTGGGGGGGGGGATGATTTTCACAAAAAAACTCAAATTAAAAATCATTTTGTATTAAATTTAATTTTTTCATGTTATTACTACTCCATAAACGTTAAAAGGCAGTCGGAGCATTCAGGGCTTCCTCCCGATACGAGCAGTCTTGTTTGTTATTAATGATTAACTCTACATCTATTTTGTGAAATTGTGAAAGTGGTTTTTCAGTCGTCTACCTAGTTGTAGTTTTGTAGAAGCAAAATTAAGTGCCGGTTCAATGAAATGCAGAACAATTGAAATCAGTCAATTGAACAGGAACTCAATCATTTGAACGACGGAGCTTTGGTATATTTTCAGATCTTTTGAAAGTCTGACTACAACTGTAATGTTAAACTTCAAAACAAACGCTGTTGTCGCTATTTTGATCGGTTGCGGAGAAAATGTAAATATGATGCTGTAAATGATCAATGTGGCACGTTTTAACCTTCAAACATATCATATCAAATTCTTTCGTTATATGAGTGTATGTGAAATATTAGAGGCGAAATGTTTGGGGGGAGAAATAAAGAAGTGAATAAAATAGGGGCAAGATGTGAGTAGAGCTTTAATGATTGCGAGTTGTTATGTTCAGGTGGACAAGATCCTTCAAAGCATAGACTCAATCCAGAGCAAAGTGCAGAAGGTGAAGGACTTACATGATCGCATGCTGGCTTCGCCCCAGGCGGAGGAGCAGGACAAGAACGAACTGGAGAACCTCATGAATGAAATCAAGTCCAGTGCCAACAGAGTCCGAAAATCCCTCAAAAGTAAGACAGAGTGTGCCACTATCCGGGAATATGAATACTCTTGAACATCATTCGAGGCATACGTTTGTAGGTCTCGTTTTTGGCATTTTTAACGCTTTTTGTGTTTGACATTTTTAAGCAAGCGGCATTTTTTAGCAAGCGATTATCAAAACGGCATATAAACTTCAGGTTAACAGCTTGTTTAACAAAAGCATCTGATCAGCTTACTTGAAAACTGTATCCAGTTCGTAGGACTAGAGATTGCCATATCGAATTGTAGGACTAGAGATTGCCATATTATAGTTTGTCGACTTAATTTCCAAAACGTGCTATTTCATCTGATTGAAGCAAATTTGCCTAGAAATGAAAGGCGTTTTGATTCGTTCTGAAAATTTGTTTAAGTTCCTAAAGTTCGTTTGGAAATTTGCCACCTCAATTTGGTATTATTTCCAATCTGAGCTTTTGTCTGATGTTTTGTTCAAATGCTTTTGGCTTGAGTTTTTTTTTGCTCATGCTTATTCACTTTATAGTTGAAAATTTTGCCTTATATCTTCTAGTTCCAAATATTCTAGATACAAATCTTTATAGCTGAAAATTCTTAATGACAGGACGTCTACCCAAGAATTATCGGCCCAATTACCACTCAATGAGTTTCTGTGAATGCTTGTCCAATGCAGGATATATATTTTTTCAATTTGAAGGTCTCGAGACAAATTTATGATTTTTTTGGGTTTTTCCGACATCTTTTTTGTTTTCGATTTGGTTACTACGGTAACTTTTTGTCCGCTAGTTTTAAATTGCGGGCGCATGTTCCGTCGTTCGATAAACGGAAAAAGTTTTCATATGTATGCTTTGGCGGACTTTTTTGAGTTTCGCTCATTGTTTAATGAAAACCTTCTTTTTCGGCTCATCGGGTATCAATTCAAGTGTTGTCGGCTAAATTGCTGCCTCGAAAATTTATTCAAATCGAAACATGCATAGAAATTTTAGTACATCTAGTTTTTTGCAATTTTTTTTCGACTTAATATGGTCTGTTGGCAAGTTTTCCATGCTCAGATTGTCTTACATCGCAATTTTTGAGAAGACCGGCTTGACCGCTTGTCAGAGAATTGAATTGATCTGATTACAGATTTTCAGAAAAATAACCTTATTTGTTTTTTGTCACTTTTGAACATCGATTTTGCAATAGTTCATGGCATCTTGAATTTTGGATTGGTTTAATTTTGCGAAATAAGGGAAATTTGTCTTAGTTATTTTAATGATAGTTATTCCTTTGTGCGCAAGGCACGTGGTGTGAAGCTCAGCTTTGCCTCTGGATCAAAAATTGTTTTCGATTAGTTCGCTATCCGCTAGCTTGCAATGCTATGTGTGTCATTTATTACAGGTTTTTAAGTTCTTCGCAATTTTTGTTTTTGTCCTCTTGTTTTCTACCGTTTTTTTTGAAATCAATGATTGTCAGTTGCTAGCTTATATTACTTTTTTTCTAATTTGAGAAAATTTAATTTGTCTTGTTGATGATGTTTTTTGGTATCAAAAACCATGATTTCCATAGCAAAAACAAGCGAAATTCTGCCTCACTTTTGATAAACACTCATTTCCTTCATATTTTGTGTAGCTGCTATGCGCAACAAATGTCACAGAAAGTGGTACATCTCGAATTTAAAATAACTTTATTAAAATGTGCGATTGTGGAAAATATATTTTAGAAAAGTATATTACTTGTACTTATAATAGTTTGTAGGGGAGTAATATAGAAGTATGACTCAATAAATGTAGTAATAGATAATGAAAATGTTTTCATTATGTCAATTTCGTCATCATTTTCTCCCGTGGCAGTCGGAACACTCAAGGGTTTACACTGATACCAGTAGAGTTATTTCAATTTAATTTTGACGAGTGTTTTAAGAGTCGGTGAACGTAGATTAGACTCGAATGTAGGTCGTGATGATTTTTTTTTTCGTTTTGTTTTTCCAGGAAAACCCTCAGAATTCTCTAATAACGTCATATTAACGCATTTATAAACGCCCTGAGGAATACGTGCAATTTTGAGTTCAATTCAAGTGTATTTGCTAAAAAGTAGATAAATTCGCTCTTCAATTACGAAAAAGTAATGGACACAAAAACGTGATTGATTTCTAGCTTCGAAAAGGGAATTTAGTTTTCAGATTTCCAGCGGAATAAAAACTTAAATTTACCAATTTTCTCAAAAGAGTTAATTTTATCAGAAAAGTGTAAATCATAAATTGTTCGTTAAGTCCAAAGAGCTCTAAAGACATCCAATTTTTTCTGTGAAACTTGAAAGTTGAGGATTTTTCAAAAAACGTGTCATGTTTTCTTACTGTTTTGTTGCGTTTTCGACTTTTTCGAACTGTCTGTTGGCTTTGTTTCACTGAATATATTACAGAATGTTTATTCTAATTCTAACGCAACTTAATTTTGACAAGTTGTTGCATCAGGGTATCAGACTTTTTACGTACAGCTCACGGAATTTGCACGCGAAAATGTTACACGTGTCTTACTTGCCTTGCGAAGCTAGTGTATTATTACGAACCTGCTTTTTTCCCAACCTAAGTCGCAAATTTTGGTGCGCACTTTTATGGTGCGGCACCACAATAATGGTGGGGCACCTTTACAGCTTTTTGATAGCATGTGCTTTGACGTTCGAATAGTAATAATTTAACACAGATGATGCATTTTAATTTTATCAAACGAACTGAAAAAAGCTATATGTTTCAAACAACTTCGGAATAATAAAAACTCGATTTCAGAAATTTTCCTACTCAATATATCTAGAGGCAGAGCTGGCGCCCCACCCTCCCTAGCTTGGCATCATTTTTTTTGCGTACTTTCAGTCTTAATAAGCGCATGCGAACACTCCGGCAATTTTGAATGGACGGCAGGGCAGCTGAAAACGCTTTCGCAAGACAAATTCGCCCTTCGGGCGCAATTATAAAGCTCAGTCAAAACTGGACATGATTACTTATAAAACAACAAAGGATTTTCCGTTTTTGGATAATTGCGAGTCGGATGCTCTTCTACTGGGCCCTAAAGGGCCCACAGAGCATCCTGAAAGACTGTCAATCTAAAATTTTCAAAAAAAAAATTATAATTATTTTTTTTTTTCAATTTTTTTGTAATTGTTTTATCATTTTTATTATCTTCTACAACAATTTTTGAACAATTGAGGCAGCTTACAATGCATGTTATTAGTTCAGACTCTCTATCTGGCTATATATGACCTAAACTACTGTAGCTCATGTAGGACAGATCTGAATTTAAAAAAATTTTACTACAAATTTCGATTAAACGACCAAATAGGAAAAATATTGAAGCAAAAAACTCCCAAAAAAAGAAGTTTCCAGCATTTTTGTCAAGTAGTGTATTTATTGCTCAACGAGGAACTCGTTTTTTAAATCAGAAACCATTTTTTACCAATTTTGAAAAGTTTTGTTTTTTTTTGAAAATAAATGTTGAGTCAAAAACGTGAAAAATTAATTTTTTTCAAAAAGTCAAAAAAACTTGTTCCTTTCAAATTATTTCATTGGGCCAAACGTTAGGAACCTGTTCAGAATGGTTTTCTTGCTCAAAGCCGCAAAATTTACCCATTTTAGTTAACTCAAAAAAGTGGGATAAAGGGTCTTCAAAATAAAACCATCAAAAAGTGGCATTAACAAACTGCTATTATTTCCGGGATCTAGGGTCGCATGCAAAAAATTAGGGAATTCTAGCGGAGAGTTTTTGAGAACCCGTCTAATTTTTAAAAAATAGTAGGAACGTTAAACTGGCCAAATGTCTAATGTTCCGAGGGGGCCCTACCCCCTCTCAATGGGTTTTTATAGCGTCGTGGGCACGCGCCCATGTAGCAATTTTTGAAACGGATAATTTTGACACAACATGGCTTTATGCTTTGCGATTTGTTACATGGAAAGTTAGTGTGAGTGCCGTCAGTTTGTTATTTCCCAACTTATTATTTGCAAAATTGAGTCTAATTGTATTTGGTGCAGAATCGCATTGGCAATTTGTTAGTATATGTAGCTGCTTTATTCGTAACTAGTATTTGTGGTTTGTTAAGCTTGAGTGGCTAAGGGGATAGTGCGTGAGACTCAAAATCTCTTCATTGCAGTAGGTCGCAGATTAGAATCCTAAACGTTGCCGAGTTTTTGCTAATTTGCGGCTTGTTTCTACTTTTTCTTATTTAACTTGATAGAGCTGCTTTTTGGTCGTGTTCTCGCAAGGATTAGCGAAACCCAGCATTACCTCTGTGTATAAATTCAACTTCAAGGAGCATTCTGCTAATTTGGCGAAGAGGTAACATTCATGCTTGACACAAAGCCTGGGAGTTCGATTCCAGTCGGGACCTGTTTTTTTTGCAAATTGAAGATAGACTATCGTCTGTCTGCTCTTTTTGTCGCCTGAATTCTCGCAGGAAGGTCATTTTTGAACTTTTGGCTTTTTAGCGGTCCGAAATCTCTTTGTTCAGTTTCTAATGGCTTAATTTTTGTGTGTTAGAAAGTTTGCCTTTTTTGCGGTTTTTATTAATTTTTGACAACACCAGTTTTGAAGTTTTTTGCCTACTCATTTGCTTTTAATAATAGTCATTCTTTTTGTATCGCAAGTGGTGCGAAGCTCAGCTTCACTCCTTCATTTTTTAAGATACTGATGGTTTATGGTTTAAAATCTTGTTCAGAATTGAATCGAATTGAATTGAAGTGGAATTAGGAATAAGAGAATACCAAACCTTACATTTCCCGAGAACCCTATTTTTTTGAATTTTCGCGTAGTTTTAAGCTTTTGGGTTAAATGTTTCTATATATCTCTTATTAATTACTATTGATAGATGTCTGTATAAAATCTATTATGGAAAAACGATGCCAAAAACTCTATGGGCATAATGCTTAAGCAACTTTTATAGACGACAAAGGGTAAAAAATTGTGTTTGGGAAAATTTTTAAGCGAAAGACTTGAATGTCCTAGTAGATTTTTTCAATCCGAAGTCCGGATGATGTTCAATTGGAGGTCTTTTTTAGGTCAAGCTCAATTATCTAGACAAGTTGTCTAAAAAATTTGAGAACATTACATCGGTTACATTTTAAATTACATTTTTGATACAAAAATTTGAACACTTGGTTTCATGCTAACGGGGTTTCTACGTTTGCGATCATAATGGCAAAACTTAATGTTCTAGAAGGTCGTAGTTAAGGAGATATAGACGGTTTCACAAATCTTCCAAAATTCTAAAAATTTAGTTAAAAAAATTAACAAAAAATTTCAATTTAATTTTTTGTACCCGTGGGTGCATGCTAATGGGGGGTGTAATGTAGGGTTGTGATTCCCATGCCAAAATTCATTTTTACACTGGCTCGTAGCTTAGAATATTATACGATTATACGAATCTTTCAAAAGTTCTAAAAACAGTGAAAAAATACTTAAGTTTTTTAGGTTCAAAATTTTGTGACCGTGGTTGCATCCGAACGATGTGAAAAGTTGTGAATTGAAAGGTTGTGAATTGAAAGCCGAAAGTTCATCTTCCAGAAGCTCAAAGCTAAGAAGAAATTGACGATTTTTTGAACTTTTGAGTTTTGTTTAGATGTAATTGCATGCTAACGGGGTTGTAGTTTATAGTCGCAATTTTAAAGCCAAAAATTGCCCTTCTGTTTTGTTGTTTAAGAGACATGGACGGTTTTAAAAATAATTCAAAAAGTTCCAAAACTATAGATAATATACTCAAACATAATTTTAATCCCAAAGTTTTGTAGCTGTGGTTGAATGCGAATGGGGCTGTAGCTTGGTTTGTGATTCGAATGCCAGATTTTTACTTTCCAGAAGCTCGAAGCTTAAAAGAAACGGAGAGTTGTACAAACCTTTCGCAAATTTTAAAGCGTAGCAAAAAATTGCAAACTGATTCACTCTATATGAAAAAATTGAAATTAAATGTTTCATCGTTCGAATTGCTTGCTTAGGATAAATTTACTTTTCTGCGAGCCGATTCGTTCTTTGAAATAACTTCACTAGCTTGCTTAGAACATTTTCTTTTTATCGAAGTAATACGTTCAAAATTTCTTGAATTATATCAAAGTCTCTTCGATTGAATATCTTGCTGAAAAAAGTGAATCTGCGAATTGTTTCTTTAAAGGAAATTTAATGGAATTTTGCTAAATTTTGGTAAGTTGACTAGCTCGCTGAACAAATGACAAAAATGTTTGTAAACCGATTAGCCCTATGAAATAACTTAAAATACTTCTTAGATTCATCGCCTGGCAAATTGCTTAGAAAAAAGCTTTGGTTTTTCGCGAAACGATTCGTTCTGGGGAAATAGCTGAAATACTTCAAAATTTTTTCGCTTCAGTAGCTTGCTTAGAAAAATTTCAAATTAACCTGAAACAACTTTTTTGCGAACCGATTCTGCATTGAAATGACTGGAAAATTTTGTTTCATTGTTTGAATAATTTGCTGCAAAAATACAAAAATTTCACGGTCCGGTTTGCTCTAGAAATGGTTTTGACATATATCAAAGCTGCATCGCTTCAAAAGCTTGCTTAAAAAGCGTAAACTTTCGCAAACCTATTTGCTTGATTTATTTTGAAGTTTCATTGCCTGATTAGCTTGCTTAGGAAAAACCTCAACTTCTCGCGAACCTATTCGATCTATGGAATATTTGGCATCTTTCATAGTTCCATTGCTTATGGATTTAAAATGCAAAACATGAAACGTTTCTTCGCTTGATTGCTTGCGTCTTAAAAACTATTGCGAACCAGTTTTATTTAATCATTTGGTTAATTTTTGAACAGTTTTTCTGAAATGCGTTTAATGGAGATTTTCTTGCTTGTTCGAAGTGAAGACAAAGAAAATGAGACGCTCAAAATTTTGATACATTTGGTCTTGCTTTTTTGTGCAGTTTGTTGACTAAAGTACTGTACTACAATCGCGGCGCTTGTAATTTACCTTTTTGCCTAATGATGGCATATCTTAAATCCGTGTTGGAAAGCAGCTTTGTTTTATAAAGCTTACTTTTTAAAGCTTTTATATAGCGTATCAGTGTTATATTATGAAACTATTTTTACGATTTTCAAAGTCGCAGATAATTTGCTCTTGCTCAGTGATAAATGATTGTATAAATTTAGCGTATTGAGTTTGCTTTTATCTATAAAGAAAATATTCATTGTCTTTTTATGAATATGGTGGCTCATATGGCTCAATTTTACTGTGAAGATAATGTCAGAGTAACTAGAGTTTCCGCGTTTGCGAGTTTATTCGTTTTTCAATGCAATTTTCTCAAGTTTTCCAGTTTTCACTTTTTTGCTCATGTATGCTGAGTGTAACCTCGCCTCTCTGTGCATGCAAATCGAGACATGTAGTTTTATTTAGTTATAAGAAAAAAATCGTAACCAGTCAATACATAATATGATATGGTGTTTCAGCAATGGAAAGCAACATAGAAAAATCTGAAGCACAAGACAGGGAAAAGAGTTCGGCCGACCTGAGGATTAGAAAAACACAGCACTCCACGCTCTCACGCAAATTCATAGAGGTTAGTTTTGAGAAATGAAAAGGAACTCCAAGAACTCTCGAAAAAAAACAGTTGTTCAGTCTGTTGATAACGGATGAAGTGTTTCTACGAATAACTATATACGTTTTCGATACGATTGAATGTATTCAAAGAGTCCGCGAATTTTAATTTTGCCATTGACAGAAAAATTTGAAAAAGTTTAGAGAATCGATTTTTTGGTATCGTATTTTGCAGGACGGAAGAACTTTGATACTGGATACACAATGGCAGTACTTTTTTTAGTATTTTAATTTTCCAAAAACTTCGAGTTTTGAAAGTTTTTTCTCGGCGTTTGAATGATTCCAAGCAACTGCCAGCTGCATTGAAATAAAAAGAAGAGATGTTGCTCATTACTTTTATCTCTGCGAAGACCATACGGTTAAATTAGCTGTTGTCTCTAGGTAATGTCAGACTACAACAAGACACAGAATGACTACAGAGAGGGGTGTAAGAACAGAATCCAGAGACAACTGGAGATCACGGGCAAGAAGACGACCAGTGATGAACTGGAACAGATGCTCGACTCAGACAACCCCAATGTATTCAGCCAACAGGTAAACAAAGAGAACAACTCACAATTAACACCATCGGCCAAACTTACCCACACATATTGGGCGCCGAAATTTGACTTTGAGAAGAACTTAATTAAGAAAAACTGTTCTTCATACTTGTTAGAAGGTAACATAATGAGGGGCGCTATCATAGCAATAGGAGCGTGGGCGCTCTAGTTACAACAAAACTATGCTTCAGGGTGATTCAATTTAATCTTTTAGCCACGGTATTGTGGTTGAACCAATTTTTAAATGCGTGTGGATAGACATGAGTACTAGCTTCTTAGCTCTGCAAGAAGAACCACTGTGACACCTCTGGTTAAAGATATTTCATACTTTTTGCTGTTGTTCTGAGATGAAAATTTGCTGGTAGATCTCAAATGTACCTGTTTTGGCGTGAACAAGAGGCACTTGCAAACCTACCTTCACTGCCGAATAGGATTTTGAGCATATCCTTTAGTTAGAAATCTTTAAGTTGGATAATTAGAAAATTCTCCAAAGATGCATGTGTGTGCGTGCAAAGCGAAAAACAAACTGGGAATCCCGTTATAAAATGAACTCTTACAATATTTGCAGATCACAACTTGTATGGTTCAAGTATGCGTGTTAAGCACTTTTTGTATATGGCCGTTTTATCTGTTGAAAAGATTTTTTGTAATGCGTCTTAGTTTGTTAGGAAGGCGTTCTTACAAATTTACAGTGTCTTGATTAAGTAAGTAAATTACAAGGAGTCGTAGGAAACTTAAATGTTATCAAAGTTTTTTATTTTTATTAAATGAAAGGCGTTAGGTTAAGGGCTGTAGAAAACTGCAAGGATGAAATTTATCATAAATAAAATTACGTAAAAATTGTTGAAGAATTAAATTTATGATTCAGTCACTCATTACACAAGCAGAGCGTAGTGTCATACTACGCTGTCTACTTTTTTCCAGCCTAAGTTGCAGATAATTGTGTTCATTAAAAAGGTTCACGTATGCGGTTGACTTATAGAATGTGTTTCATAGCGTTTTAATAGCATTTTTCTAAGAGTAATGATTGTAGTGAGTACTCTTATAGAGGTCTTGCTGATTTATTTTTTCAGGAAAAAGTCTTGAAATTTGTTCACGCTCAGTTTTGATTTTTCGCGGTTTGACTTGTGATTTATTCTTAAGTTCAGTGCATTTTCATTAGAAGGCAAACTCGACTATCGAACAGCAAAAGTGTAAAGGGCACGAAAAAGGTGATGGACTTCTGATTTCGAAAATGGAAATTAGTTATGAGATTTCCCAGCGAAATAAAAGTGTTACGTATTGATCCAGTTTTCTCAAATTGGGTTAATTTTAACAAAAATGTGTCCATCACAAATTGTTCTACAAATTCAAAGAGCTGTTAGGCCATCTTTTTTTTCAAATTCCTTGCGTTCAATACTCTTTTGCAACTGTTAGTTGGCTATGTTTTTCAGTTTCGCTTAGTTATTGGCAAGTTCCTGTTTGATAATAATGGGTCCTATAAAAATTGATGAGATTTGTTTTTTTTGAGACGCTTTGGAAAATTATTGCTTTTGGCAGAAATTTTAGTTTTCCTCGAAAATCACTTCACTGATGGAAAAAACTGGTTACGTCAATGTGTCTTTCAATATTACGCTAGTCTATTTTTACCGTCTCCAACGTTTGACGGCCTTTCAATGTGAGGAATTTGTGATCCTTTAATTTCAATTTATTTCATTTTGTGAAAAATTGCCTTGCCTGAGATTAAAGGTTCATTTTACAGAGCTTGTCATGGGTATCTCCCCTGCGTAAACTGTTACGCCTGAATAGAAATAGGTTACGTCTTTATAAAGTGTTCAAATTTTTGAAGTTTTGACTGTTTTAAGAATTTTTTTTTCAAAAAGTACCCTGTCAAATCAGAGATTGAGATTTTTGGCTTTTTGATGGTTTGCGACATCTTTCCTGCATAAGTGGGTTTTAAGCCTTTTTCTGTAAAAAAGCCAGGCCATGCGGTAAGAGAGCAAGCATAGCCGAGGAATTTTTGATTTTTTTACCGTTTTTTGAGAATTTTTACTTTTGGAGATAAACGATTCAACCGAAAGAAAAGAACGTAGGGATCTTCCCTCATAAATGGTTCCTACGCATTTTCTTTAAAAAAAGCTAGCATAACATAGGAAACATTCGTTTATTAAGAGTACTTGAACGTAGTTCAGACTCCTATATAGGTCGCCATGCTATTTTTTTGTTTTTTTCCAGGAAAAGTCTTAAAAGTTATTCGGGCTCAAATTTATTTTTTTTTGTGGTTTGACTTTGATTTTCTTCAAGTTCAGTTCATCTCGCTTGTTCCAAGGAAGACAAACTCCACTATCGATTAGGGAGTGTAAAGGCTAGTTTTGAAAGTGGATCGTAATTTTCAGGTTTCCCAGCGAAATAAAAAAATTACCTATCGATACATTTTTTTCAAATTCAGTTAGTTTTAGCAAAAAACTGTCAATCATAAAGTGATTTTGAAATTCAAATGCCTTTAAGGCCATCTAATTTTTTTCTTTGAAATTTGAAATTCTAAAAAATAAGTCAAAATATTTTTTTTTCTGTTCACTTGAGTTCCTTGTCTCTTTTCCAACTATCTGTCGGCTGTGTTTTTGATGGAAGTTTGAAAGTTGCGTTTTTTTAAAAAACAAACAAGCTAGTTTTTTTTCTGTTTACTTGCGTTCATTGGCTTCTTTCCAACTGTCTGTTGGTTGTCTTTGAACTTTTTAACCGTTTACGAGAACTTTTTTTGCTATTAAGGATTCAACGGAAGGGATCTTTCCTGCATAAATAGTTCCTTTGCAATTACTCTGTAGAAAGAGGCTTTCTTTGAAAAAAATACGATTTACGCCAAAGTTATTTCAGTCAATTCTTCAAATGGTCGGAAAAAAAACATGTATCAAATTTTGCGGAGGTGGTTAAAAAGAAGAGGATCCCATGTATTTTTTTCAATAGCTGACCCAATTAATCAACTTATTACTTTTTCGACCTATTACGATGAATGAAAAAGCTGTCATGTGCTGCAATTTCAATTCAGGATCTCAAAATTCTAGTCAGGTGATCGAAAAATGATGGATGCTTCAGTTTGAATATTGTTTGAGACCTCGTTAAATCAGTTTTATCGTAGGCTTTAGTAAAAGTGGCGCGTCATTTTTATCATTCTCAGTAACTTTGTGTTTTGCGGATTTTATACAAACAGCCTTATCTTGAAGACGAAATTACACCTGAGTCACGTAACAATTGCGTAACAACAGTGAGGTTATGTTGTGAGAACATGTGGAAAATTATTTTTCGGCTTCTTGTTGGCCTGTAGGCTTGTTGGTGTACCTCTGTTTAGTCAGTTGTGTTTGCGTGTAGATAGTGATGGATGACCAGCAGGCGAAGCAGGCTCTGGACGATGTGCAGCAGAGACACCAGGAGATCCTTAAGTTGGAGAACTCCATCAAGGAGCTGCACGACATGTTCATGGACATGGCCATGCTAGTCGAGAGCCAGGTCAGTAGTAAGAGCAATTGTTCACAGTCAAAAGTACTGTTTTTTTTGGAAGCGCTGTCCAAGAGAGGGGTGATTGAAGGCAATTGCAAACTTTCCTTTGTAAGTTCCACCTCTTGGAAGCGCCTTCTCTGGAACTTCAATACAAGTCTCTATGAACTGTTCTTTATATTTACAGGCACCGATATTTTCATCGAAGCTTGTTTTTTTCGCATTTTCTTTAGTTTGAAGAGCTAATTTTTACCGTTTTTCTACCAAATCAGCGCAACTTATTATTCAACTACATTATTGCGTTTCAACTAAATTTGGAATGGAATTAGAAACCGACTGCTTAATTAGAAGAAAAGCGAGAAACTAAACTTTTTAATAACTGATTTTTTTTTTGGTTTCAGGTGTGCGAATCTTGAAATTTTTTTTGAACTATTTTCTATGCTTGAATTACATGGTCAATATATTAAACAATTTCTAGACTTGAGTTGCATGATCAATTTACGACGTTGAAATACAAGATAGATAAAGCTTTGGATATATCAATTGAGGGCCTTTAAGTTAAGTTACCTAAATATGTTTTGGCATTGGCGCTTGATTTACTTGTAAACTCTCCGGAAAACATTTTGCTGATCGATTATTGATTGCGAAGGCAGATTTTTCAACGATGCTTGACTTGGGTCGAAAAGGAAACAAAGCAATAAGCCAAAAAGGTTGTTACGTGTCTTAGAAATACATGTACTGGTATGACTGCTCTATGCGTATATTTCCTGTGATTTTGTTTTACTTGACCGTATCCTTTTTTGTTCTTCGCGATGGTCATAAATTTATAGACTGATGGGCTCATAGGAATTTATGGGCGCTCAGTGGGATGAAAATATTGTTTGAAGAGAGGCGAAGCTATTTTAATATATTGTGAATAGGGGATGTGTTTTGAACATGTATAATGAAAGCTGCAGTTTGGATGCTGAGATAGTTTTTTTATGGCATGCTGTAATTTCTTTGATTTGATGGAGTTATTATTTCAAAATAGTCGCAGTGTGTACTAAAGGGAAATAAAAACTTCTTTTTAACGATGCCAAAAGATCTGGTTTGAAATGACGGATTAAGAAGATAACTATTTATGCTTCTCCTTTATTATGAAAAAAATATTAAAAGGTAAAAGCGAAAAAAGCAGTAGAAAAGTAGTAATTAGTTGTGATGCTTCATCGAAGAATTATCAGTGGATTTGCTATTAGTGGGACAGTTTTCATAATCTGTCAAGGTCAAGCGTAGAATTAATTAACACAGAGTGGGATCAACCACTTTCTCCCTAAATTGACCTCGTAAAGATTAACTGTTTTAAGATTAAAGTTGCGTGAAAAGTACTCGATTCTGATTGGTTGAAAACTCAAATTTAGAATCAAAATAACACAGCCTTAAGTTTTGGAGGTTTTTTTATTTTCGAATAAAAACAAGTCTGAATGTTTCGAAACAGCATGAGTATTTAACATTGTTGAATTATCAACAATTTAAGGGAAGGGGACGTATCTATCTTTTTGCCATTTCTTGCAACCGAGTGTGTGAGTTGAGGAGTTCATAATTTTTTCTTTCCGGTAAATTCATGAAATTACATTTCTCCGAGAGTGCATAAAAGTTCTACAACTAGGGAGATATGGTAGAAAGGATCGAATTCAATGTCGGCCAATCGGTCGTTTCGGTCAAAAAGGCCAACGTCGAACTCAAAGGTGCTGTCAAGTACCAGCAGAGTGCACGCAAGGTAAACTGTCTCGCAGAAACTAAGAGTTCAAGTAACCGAATGCTAAACATGGTATTTACATGAACCGGTTTCAGACAGTCATATAATATCCAGCGTTATGAAATCAGCCTATTCAAATCAAAAACAAATCACGCGCATTCTGAATAATTGTTGCGTTATTTTTGAACTTATTCGGCCGTTTTTGTTAAATTCATACCGTTGTTATGTAATGAGTCAACTGTCTTACATAATCATATGTCATAATGTCGTCATCTATCACAGCTGTGTTGTTTTCATGTGACGTCATCAGGGCGAGATGATAGATAGGATCGAGTACAATGTAGAACAGTCTGTGGACTACGTATCTAAGGCCACTCAAGACACTAAGAAAGCAGTCAGATACCAGTCCGCCGCCAGAAGGGTTAGTCATACATCCTTTATTTTTTTTGTATATTTTTATGTATAATATAAATAAGTTTTATGCAGATAATTACAATGCCAACACTATTTGGTCGTAGGATTAACTTCTGGAGTTAACTTTCTATCAGAGTTTAAAGTGTATTTTTTTAGTTAATTTCTTTTTTTATTTTTCCATTTGCTCGCGAATGAACTAAAGTTTATGGATGGGTTCCAAGTAACGGTGTTACAAAACAGAACCTAGAAAATAGTAAAATTTGTGAGTTTGCTTCTGATTGTGTCAATTCAACTTAATCCTAATTAGTTATTTAACAAATATTAACCCATTACAATTAAGTAATTACCCTTGCGCTAAGCAAGGGTATTGCAATCGGGTACTAGACTTCTTTTCCCGTTCGAAATAGTTTTAATCTAAATTTCTCAAATTGGGTTAGTTCTATATAAAAAAAGTGCTCGTCTTTAAAGATTCGTCAGTTGAATGAGCCTTAAGGTGATAATTTTTCGGTATGGAAAGTGGGTTTTAGAATTAGATTTCCCAGCGGAATAAAAAAATTTCTTTGGATCCAGTTTTTCTTTAATTGGGCTAGTTGAATGAAGAAGTTGTTGATAGAAAGTGTTCACGAAGTTTAGGGAGCTTCAAGTTGATATATTTTTTCAAATTTTCGAAAGTTGAAATTATTTTTTTTCTGTATTACTTCTGCTCATTGACACTTTCCTAGTGTTTGTTGGCTATGTATTATAATAAAACTCTTGTAGGGATTAACTTCATAAAGTTCCATGGCACTAAAATGACTAACAGTAAGAGACAGCTAATTCGCCGACACATTGGGTGCTTAACTATTCACGCAATTGAACTGCAAACACGTTTTATTTAAAAAGACAAAAAAATCGATTGCATGAATGTTTGTATCTTGAACCCGCTTGTTTTCAGCGCCCTGTGAAATGACGAATGATGCACCCTGCAACCTATGTGTGATGTGTAAAAAATTAAGGCTATCATTAAAAGGACACTTGCATGAAAAAATTGATATTACCTATAAAAATTCCGATTCCCTATTTTTGTTGGTCATAATTCAGAAAAGCATAAATAAAATAGGTTTAAGTTTCAATTAATGAAGTGAGGACAGTCATTTAGGTTAGGCTGCGTGGTTTTAACTAAACGAAATACGTTGAAAGTTGCTTACGCTGAAATTTATTTCTCCAAGATTTTTCAGAATCATTTGCCACAGGAAGGAAAGTTCCGCTCTCAAATGACGTAATGTGTAGAAAGCGAGAAAACACGTGAAATTTACACAAAGAAGTTTCTTGATACTTTTACTTGACATTTGAATTCCTTGGCACTTCTCATACTGTTTGTTGGCAATGTTTTAGGATTAAAAAAGCTGCAAAGATAGGGTATCGGAAAATTTATAGAGGGCTATTATATAAAACCCAAAACTTGCTGGTACAGATTGGAGACAGTTTAGTTTGTACACGATTTTCTACATTTTGCTCTTTCCTGTTCGTAGCTGGGGCGGAACTCAATCAGATGAATTTCGCGCCAAATTTAGTGATAAATAATTGGTTATCAGACAAAAGTGAATCATATAGTATTGATTTGGGGATTTGGGCTGACGCGCCAAGTTTTTCTTCATAAATTGAGTTTCGCCCTTCAATTTGCATCGAGTAAAGATGGTGGTTGCTTGCACTGCATCATGTGTTGTCATTGTTGTTGTTCGCATACAGTATCGGTCATAAGTTGCCATAAATGAAATGAGGGTTTTTTAAGACGATTTGTCGGGGTGCCTCGCTGTGCTTCTTTTTGAAAATATAAATCTTAAAAAATATTCCCCTCTCTAAATATATTGCATTTTGAAAAAAAAACAGCAGCGTTGCATGTGGTCGTTTGTCTGTTTGTAATAGTGTCGTTATGTGTTCCATTTCAGACGCAAATCATCATAGCAATAGTGGTGGCAGTCATAGTTTTGATCCTCATTGTCCTTCTCCTCACACTACTCCGGAGTGTCGGAATCATCGACTGATTAGTAGTGAACTCAATCGAACTGAATTGAATCAAATCAAATCAAATCAAATCAAAAACACAATATCAAACCCATCTGAGGTGCAAGTGTATCATAGTTGCATCCCTAAACGCTGAAGCATAGAGTATCCGTAACCTCGGTAGTATCAAAGGCTACCAAGTTATCCATGGGTAGACAGTTAGGATCAATTTTCTTAAAGGCGGTTTCTTAAGTCTATTTAAGTTTGTCGGCCTATCGCCAAATTGACCGGCCACTTTCCATTTTGGCTTTGAGGACCCAACTAATGTACTTGTGCCCCATTTGAGTTAAGTTGGAATTATCTGAACTCATAGAGTGCTAGACTTCAATTTTTTGCTGCTTCAATCTTCTAGAAATGGAACAATTGTTGATCATTTAGCATATCGCATAAACTTGTACGAACCCAGACAGCCAGATTTAAAAAATAAGGATAGCCGGTTACCGTGCAATTAGCACAGAATGTTCCGACCATAGTTTAAAAAAATACAATAAATTTTTTTTTTCAAATCGTCGTTTTTTCTGCGTGGTTTGATAAAAGGATCTGAACCTAAAACTAAGAGCTTTTCAAATGGTCGGAACAATGATAAAATTACCGAAATATATGTCATACCATCGACAATAAAAATAAACCAAAAAAAATAGAGATTGTGCGTACAATTGGATTGCATTCTTTGAACCATTTCTTTTCGTAAATTTATAATTATCTAATGTGATTGCTAGTAGTGTGTTGCTCAGATGTATGCACAAAACAACCGATTGTTAGACTGTTACTTAGACCGAATTAGGTTATTGCACAATTGGTTTACATTATTTTAAATTAGTTTGCGGCAATTGTTTGTATGAATTTGTAATTTATTGCAATAATTTTCTATATTTGTAGAGCTTTATTTGTATCTTTTCTATATTGTTTTGTTCCTTTTCTAAATCGTTTTCGTGGAATCATAAATTTGCTTCCGGTAATGTATTCGTAGAATAGACAAATTATAAACATAGTTTTCCCCGAGTATGAACATAGTTTTCCCCGAGTGTGAACATAGTTTTCCGCATACAAATAGATAAAGAATAAAAGTACCGGCATGTACCAATTTTTCGTATTGTCCATAGCGCCAAATATTATAATAGTCGGAATTATTAGTTTTCTGGTATCTAAATTCTAAAAAAAAAACACTTTCTAATGAATACATCGTATCTGCCTGTAAGAAATTATCAAAAACACGAATATTTGAATGCAATAAAGAATGAGTTGAAATAGGAAACGTTCCGTGGATGTGTTAACAAAGTCCTGGTTTGCATTCAGTCATCGAAAAAGTGAAGAAACATCAAACTGAAATCAAACGACGAAATCTTTCTATCATCATCAGTTGAATTTCACAAAACTGAGAACAAAGTCGAAACGAACTGAAAACATAATGATAGGTGGGCTGGAACATTTCATAATCTCAACCAGGAATGGGAAAGTCCTGGATGAATACTTTGAACAAACGTCTGCAAACATGATCACAAAGCCATCTGAAGTGAACAAACTACTGCGACATGAACAGTATCTGCCAAATAGGTGGAGGGATAATGGACAATTATATGTTTGCAGAAACAAGTCCTGATCGGAGGCGTGGTGATTCTGATTGTTTCTGCAGTAGCTCTGGTCGTCATTTTCACAGTGTTCTAGAACCTGGATGCTTATACGAAGAATTATGTCACGTTTCGATGGAAGGATGCGTTGATTGTAAAAACTCCCAATTGACGAAAATAAGATGCAAAGCTTGCATTCGACACAACGTTATTGACACAAATGTAAATTTTGAAGCATTAAGTGTAAAAATTGTCATTAGAGCTAGAATAATTATTTGATCAAATCGGAAATTTTAATTCAAAAGGATAAATAATTTATTTTGTCGGCATAAGGCTCGACATTTTGTTCAGTTTGGTAATATTTAATAGACGCAGCGTACAACTGCCGTATCTAAGGTCAATGTTAGATGCTTGACAAGATACTCCTATGCGGGTAATGAAATTGAAATATATCGAGCATGCTTTGAAGAAACTACTAAATGCATGCTTATTTGTAAGTAGATGAACATACAATTGACGGATTGTTGAAAAATTTCAAACCAAATTGCATGCTGCGACCGTTTTCTGCACGTGATAATTTCAATGAATTGAAATAGCAGATGTTATCAAATGAAATTTAAAAATTACTGACTCTTGCTGTTCGTCATTTTAGTCAAAATTACCGAGAGAGCTTACCTCAAATCTCAAATGCCAAACTGAAAAAGATAGCCTTTGATAGGGCAGCTCTCATAAGTGTAAAAGTTACAGAAATGAATTAATAATTCGACTTTTTCCCTTTTTAACCCCCAACCCAGCCTACTACCTAAAGACGTATGAAACCCCACACTGCGATAAAGAGTCGATGAACGTAGCGACTGTTTTCTTTTTCGCGGTTTGACTTTTAATTTCTTTTTAAGTTCAGTTAATTTTGTCAATCTTAAATTGTTCTAGAAGTTTAAAGAGCTCTGAGGCCATCTATTTTTTTCTATTAAATTCGAAAGTTTTAAAAAACAATTCAGTATATTTTATCTGTTTACTTGCGTTCATTGACTCTTCTCCAACTAACTGGTAGCTATGTATTTACTATTAGGGAGGGAGAGGGGGGGGGGTAATGGAAAAGGGCTAATGATTTGACTACTAAATTGCAAAAAAAGCGCAGGATGCTTAATGAAACGTAAGTTGATAATTCTCCAGCCACGATTGACTTAATGTTTTAGAAGAAAATCATGATCCTGATCTGTCTCGTTGTTCTCGTCATTCTATTAGTTCTTCTGGCCATGATTTTTCTCTCCTAACGCCCAAAGTTGAAACTTGTGGAGAAAGAAATCGTAACTATTTCATGGACTGGATCATATTTTGTAACTTTTCTACTGCATTCTACTAACTTTTCGTATTTTATTCACCTCTAATTAATAACTACCCCTAGAAGATCTGCAGAGTTGAATAGTTTCATCGAGAATGATATTTCTGATATTTTGTCTCGGGCCGCTTTGACTGAAATCATATGGAAGTCGAAGTCTTAAATGGACTCATTTAAGCAGTGCTGAAAGAGACTTTGATGGCCTCGAAAATCGTTTGATAGGTAATTTCAGAGACCATAGCTTCGATGTACTCCCTATTCTCCTTACGCACAAATGTCAACCTACCCAACCTTACAGGAACAACGGATCAAAACTAACCCATGAAAAATAATTTAATACTACAAAAAAAAACGTTTTTAATGAATAAAGAAAAACCAGAATAGTCGGTTGCTGTGCAAGTAGCACAGAAAGTTGCGACCCCTAATTAAAAAGGTAAACACAGCAGTTACTTCTGTTTTAAATGGAATAGTTTTTAATCCATCTAAACAAAGGCCTAGGAATAAAGCATAAGCAATATTAATAGGAAATTAGCCATAGCAGGTATATTCCATAGCAGTTTCCTCGAAATATGATAAAAAAAAAATAAAAATCCTCAAAAATTTCAAAAAATATTTCGAAAATGTTTCTAAATTTTCATTTACAAGAACGGCGCGAAAAAACATCAAAATCTTTTTTTACCCAAGTGAAACTACAATTACATGACTAAATTGTACGATTTCGACTAATCTAAGCCTGCGCGCTTGCTTTATTTGCTCGAAATTAGACTCAACATAAAAAATTCCAACCGATTTCTCTTGACGCTGAAAGTTTTTTTAATGTCGTTCGAATCATAATCGAGCGGGCCTTAAATTGATACATCACTCAGCTCATTCTGATTATTCTTTTCTGGATCCTGATTTTGCGTTGAAAAAAATTGAAATACTTCCGAAGACAAACATTACTATCTATTGTCAATGGTAAGAACAGTGAGACGTACGTCATTTGATAGGGAACATGAAATTCGACACAGCAGCTATAAATCTTATTCTGCTTTTCGAGTAAATTTGGAGCATTTTTGTTTTATACTTACTGGTTTTTGGGTTTTTAAAAGTCCTGAACCAACCAAATGAACAGTCAGTTATTTAAGTGTTCATATGATTTTTTCAAGAAAAAGGTTGTTCTTAATCATTCGACTTGAGAACGTGTCATAAATCTGTTACATATTTGTATGCAAGCTTCATTGTCTCGCAAAATTTAAGATTGGTCAGCGTATTTGTTGCATGTTTACCGAAAGATTTTTTTCATACTTAAGTTTAATCGTAGATTGAACGCTAATTTTTTTTCAGCTTCCAAGTTTGAATTCGGTGTTGATTTCAATCATTTGGAAATTAGCAGCCCAATAGTGGGGATCTGTTAGGGATGACATCAATTATGAATAGGAAATGGCTTATTATAGGATATCATGGGAATGCTTTCAGTGGCTGCAAGCAATGCCTCTAAAAGTGACTGCTCAATTGCATTTAGTTTCCGAGATTTGACGTTTTTTTTTTCAAAATTTTTTGTAAAACTTAGATTTAAAACTCAAAGTCATCGTTGGGGTTTGCAAGTTTTGACGACTCCCAATGCGAATGCGAATGTGGCTGCGCAGGTGCTTATAGTTTCCGAGATATGAAATTTTTATGCTTTTTGCAAAACAACAAAAAAAAGATGAAAATTTTCAAAAAAATTGTAATTTTACAGCCTTATAGCTGGGTGCTGCCATGGTAATCTCAGCAGTTACAGAATCTGAAAAAAATTCTTTTTTCTTTTTTTTTCCGAGATATGACTCTTTGGTGGGTTGATGTCTGGTTCCAACCAGGAGATGCAGGTGTTGTCACCACATCCTAATGTGGTTGCCCAATTAGTTAAAATTCCGAAATAAAGGTTTTTACGATAATTTTTCGAAGTATTTCATAATCGTAGAATTAAAAAAAAATTCAAATTTTTTTTTATTCTTGATCCAATGCCAAGCTGATGTCATTTTACTCACAGGGAACGCAGATGAAGCTTTCAAATACGACTGCTCAAATTCTTTCAGTAACCTACACTATGTTGTGGTGAAAGGATGGTACTAATTACAGGCCTCTTATTACCACTGATCATTTTTTTGTAGTTTTCGAGAAGAAGATGTTTATCATGATTTCAGAAATTTTTTGAACTTAAGAAATGAAGTAAGAAAATAGAGTATGGTGTTTTGAGCAAGATTCTCAATTATGAAATAAAATATTTTGCAAATGGAACAGGTTCAAAAATTTTTCAGTTTAGAAAGTGCGTTTGAATGCTGTTTGCAATTTTAGAGATTTGTTTCTGAGTTTACAATACGAAGATCTGAAACTCAGTGATTGCGGATATTTGAGAGTCTTAGTTTTAAAAAAATCTTGAACTTGCATATATTTTTTTGTTCATTTTACGAAATAGAAAGGGCTTTTGGATTCCCTCGTTTTTTAAGAGTCGATAAACGTAGATCAGACTCTTTTATAGGTCACGATGCTTTTTTCTTCGTTTTTTTATGAGAAGTCCAAATTTAATCAGGCTCAAATATATTTTTGTGGTTTGATTTTCGATGTATTTAGGTTCAGACGTTTCCTTTGTTAGGAACAATCAAGGTCCAACAAACAACAGCAAAAATGTAAAAGTCACGAAAACAAGTTTCGAAACTGGAATTTGAAAGTTGAGATTTTTTCAAAAAACAAGTCAGTATTTTTTTGTTTACTTGCGTTCATTGACTCTTTCCAACTTTCTATTGGCTATGTTTTTACTTTTATCGAATGATAGTAAGGACAAGGGCTAATTGATTGCCTTTAATTTGCAAAAAAGCTCAGGATGCTTAATCAAATGTAAATTGATAATTGCATAACACGCTTATTCAATTTTGAATTAGAGCTCAAAATGAGCTTTTAAACAATAAGAGTGGCAGTGGCGCTTGAGAATCAGTCTCAAAAGAGGGTTTTGTATGTTGTCCCTAGCGAATCATAAAAGTTATGTTGTGAGCTTTTTTGCTCTTTTTCTTTCCATTTTTGTCTTCGGACGTATTTTTTTACTATGTTTTTTGCTTTCATTGCAATATGACTTACCACAAATAATTATTGGAATAAATCGAGTGATATATCACTCTAAAGTAGTTTCATTCGTGACTTGAAAAACCTAAAAAGTTTTAAAAAATATCCAGTGTCGATAAAAACAAGTTTGACACTTTTGACTTTTCGTGTATTTTTGAACGAGTAAAGCGAGCGAGTAGGTCTTATTTAAAAAAAGTTCATTTAAATGACGAAAAGTTTAAATAGCGTAAGCGAGCGAGTAGGTCTTAAATTAAAAAATCAATTAAACAACAAAAAACCCCAAAAATTTTTTTCCGGAACCTTCCTCTACTTTATACCTTGCAAAAAAACGACTTAATTAGAAATTTCAAAAATTTTTCTCAATTAGTTTCGAAAACTTTTTGTAAGCATTTATTGTTATTCTTTACACCAAAAAAATTATTGTAGATATTGCCTAACTCAAGTTTGTTTGTGTTTTTTTTTACAATCGTATAACTTTTGCATCACACGGCGCACAACCAACGACACTAATTGATAAAAAAAGGAAAAAAGAAAAATTTATTTCCGTTTTTTTTTTTAAATGTGCTCGGAGTATTCTGGGTTTTTTTTGCGCAACAACTGGTTATTCTTGGGCTGTTTTTGTTTTGCCGTAATTCCTTAGCTTAACTTCATTACCATTATGCTATGCCATTTTGTAAAAAAAAAAACAGAAATTAAGAAAAAAATTTGTTTTATTTATTTTTTCATCCGAACTTTAATAAAAATAATTCCAGCCTGAAAATATTGTTGTTACGAAAACCTGTCAATTGACATCGCTTACGAGTTCTTGCGCACCTAGCTGTGCTCTAAAAAGTAAGATAGTGAAAGCAAAATATCATAAAATTCTTCGGTCGAATTTCAATTGATGTTAAAAGATACCAAATTTTTGTCAAATTTAAGATGAGATAAATAAATTAACAGAGGAAAAACTTCTCACTAAGCTGTGATAAACTAATTTCTAGCTCTATAAAAGCTTCTTTTGAAAAGTTAAGATTCTTTAGATTCAAAGTTTCTTAAGTAACGCGTTTTTCCCGAACCCCCGTTTTCCGAGATTAAATGTGAAAAAAATTAATTCAATAGAAGTGATAAACTTTTGATTATTCTGTCCATTTTTCCAGAATCAAAGCCAAAAAATGACACAAATACGAAGAAAAACTTTTTATAGTTTCACAAAAATTTGGTTGGAGGACATTGTGTGCTGTTTGAACAGGCAGTGCCAGTTTTTGGTGTAATTTTCAAAAATGACGGACTATTTTTGCTCGGCGTGGTTTTTTGTTCAGCCAATTTTTGATTAAACGCTTAGCTATCAATTTATAACTAAATGGTTTTGGAGGATAATTTTTATAGCCTTGGAAAGATTTTGTTGTCTAGACACATTCGCTCATTTTCTGTACAGTTATGTGGGCTTTAACAACACTTCATTAGCCAATTCGGGATGATTACAGTGCGATTTGTTGCATTTTATAAAACGCGTAAGTAGCGTATTGAGTTGTTCCAGGTTTAATTGAGGCATGTCATTTGATCTTATCATTAGGGAAAATAATTGAATTACATCCTTTTTGTACTTTATATTCAATGTGGTGGGATAAAAGTAAAAAAAAGAATGAAAAAAAAACGCTTGTTTCCTTTTTTTTTTATTTTTTTTTTTAAATTGCCAATCACAGTTTTTTTAATTGGCTTTAAAAGGCAGTCGAAACATTCAGGGTTTTGCCCGAAAGTACGAGCAGTCTTGTTGCTCTGTATGGTTGTTTATTTCCACGAGAACTCTATCAGTCCAAATTGTGCTGACTTTGAATCTTTACTCTTTTGTGAAAAAATCATACATGGCTTTGTGGATAAAAATTTATTCATATATCGAATACCATTCTTTCATTTTGGTGACTGAGGCTAAAAATAAGCATACTGAATTGTTTTAAGGCTCACAATCAGACAGGTACAAAATTTCGGTACAATTTATAAACCATTATCACGCTTGAGAATATGTCATTAGACCAAATGGTCCTTTTTCAAACGTCTGGTATAATCTGGCATAGCTAAAGATCAAAATGGCATAGGCTAAATTGAATGGTTGGCTAAGATGGCACAGTATAAATTGAAATAAAATAAGATCCTGTTCCTGAAAAAAAACGTTTTAAGGCGTAGAAATGTGTCGCTATGTTGAGACCAACAAGCTAAATAACGCTCTGAACTTGTGAGTCGTACGAAAGTTAACAACATGCTTTTTTAGTAATTTAGTCGGGCCTAGATTTCTATCTTTGCACTGAAAAAAGTTAATGAAAACCTGCAAAAAAGAGTGCTTTATTTACAATACTTTTGCAAAGTATTTACACTGTTTATATAGTATTCAGTGAAGCTTCGACGCATATTAAAGAACCATCATCAAGTCATCGATTCTGCTTGCATTGTCTAACGTGCTTCAGATATTTTTCGCTTACGCAGTTTTGTATAGTGTACTTTTCGATAGTCGAGCTTCAGAGTTTTTGACAATATGCATCGAAACGGTGGTAAATCTACTTTGACGCAAGACTTGCTTTGTTTTGATGCAGGCGCCTCTAAGGCTGATGTTCCTCCTACGTTTTTATGCTCTGCTTCTTTCGCTCATTCAAGTGAAGACAGTTCGAATCTAGCGTATTACTATTCAATGAACACCTTTAGCGATACTGTCTACGAAATCCACCAACTTATAGACCGCGAAGGTAACGGTTTGTTGCTAAATCTCTACTTATCACTGAAGGACGATAAAATATGCTTGACGGAGTTTGTAGACCACCTGCGAAACTTGGTTACCCCGTTTTTGTACAACAAAGGAGAGGGTCAATTGGTCACGCCCGAGCAATGGGTGAAGAACTTCGGCGCGAAACACCGCCGCGACTTCCAAGCGAGCCGCCGGCAGTTTTCGACCTTAACAAGCAAACCGATTCGTGACATGACAAAGATGTCAGATCGCGAAGATAACGAGTTAAACATGAGCTCAGAGGAGTTTCAGCTTAACTCGTTTTTGACCTTGACAACTCATCTCGTTTGTTGGAAATTAGAACACAGAGGTCGCTATGGCGAGACCCCCTTACACTTTTGCTACTTTATCAACACCCCGGAACACTTAGCCATTGCAAACTATTTACTTGAATTGTTTCCTAAATTGGCTATTGACAAATACGAAGGCGATTTCTATTTCGGGCAAAATTGTCTTCATTTTTGCATCACTCATTCGAATTCAAATGGCATTGAAAAGCTGATTGAGTGCGGCGCTGATGTGAACGCAAGAGCTTGTGGTACGTTTTTCATCCCACAGACTTTAAAACTTCACTCGCAAAAACCAGTTTTGCTTCCAGATTATCAAGGTCAGTCGTATTTCGGCGAGTACCCTCTGGCATTTGCCGCGTGCCTCGAACATTACAGTATTTTTGACCAGCTGTACCAAGAAGAAGGGACGAATCCTAACTTTCAAGATTGTTTTGGCAACACGTTGGCACATTTGCTAGTCATTCATAACAAGCCCAGGTTTCTTTACTACGCTTTGAAGCTCCCTCGAAAACGTATAGATCTTTCCATCAAAAATCAAAATGGGCTGACTCCTTTACAGCTGGCTTGTCATTTGGGTTATTACGAAGCTTTCCAAGTTTTGGCCGATGCCAGATCGCAACCGAAATGGAGTTTTGGTCATTTGGAAAGTAAAACCTACCTAATCGACCAACTTGATAGCATACACAGTAATGATGGATCAATTAATTGGAATTCAGGCTTGCATCTTTTATGTATGGGGTCCAAAAAGGGTCACACTGATATTATAAACAGAAACCCTTTGGTCGATTCTTTGCTTCGAGTAAAATGGCAAACTTATGTGAAAAGAAAGTTTGGCTTCAACTTAATTTTATCGGTAATTTATCTTCTAATTTTGATAGCGGCGCTTTATTTCAGACCATCAAATATTCAAAATTCGGAAGAACAACCAAATAAACAAGGAGAACAAAAATTGACCGACATGATTAAATTTGGATGTGAAATAACACTTTTCACCTGGTCCTTATTCTCAATTCCTTTCGAATGGGGTGCAATTTTAATCGAAGGATCCAAGCATGTTTCAAAAGGTCGCAACAGTTCAGGAGATGATCAAACAAACGTTGCCAGAGTTAGCGCCAGGAAATCTTCCCTTTCTGCAACTCTTTTATACCTGAAAATGGTACTTGGATTTAAAGATAAACTCGCAGCCAATTTGGGAAGTCTACTTTTAATCACAGCTGGAATAGCCCGAGTTGCAAACGTTAAGTTTGTAGAAGATATTTGCTTAGCTACTAGTATACCTCTTCTGTTTGGCAACTTATTATTCTATTGTCGATGTTTCTCCCATTTGGGACCATTCATAACAATTTACTACCACATGATCCGCAACACTTTAACAAAACTCATCATTTTATTTTTCATTGTCATTCTCGGAAGCCATTGCATTTTGTTTTTCTTATTCAACGCAAACTCTCTTGATGCAAAAAATACAGGCAGCCGAACTTTTTCGGAACTCATTTCGAAAACGTCTGGGGAAACAGAAGGCGATGAGCCTCTTGTTAAATTGGAACCTCAAAATGACGTTAATTTGGAATACTTGTATCGTTTAGGAGATACTTTGATGTTTCTTGTTCATACTTCGTTCGGCGAAATAAACATGAACTTCGTGGAGCTTTCAGCTTACCCGAGCGCCGGCCGACTTGTTATCATACAACACGGGGTTCTCGTCACAATTTTGCTCGGATGTCTGATGACCGCGATGGTCTGTGCAACTTACCAAAAAGTATTGCTCAGTTTTAGAGCGGAGAATAAAAAACAATGGGCAAGAATTATCCTTCTCTTAGAAGCGCAAATGTCTAAAAGTTATAGGCTGAAAAAGATCGCAGTTTATGCAGACTCTAAATCGACTGCTGATCCAACATTTCCGACGTTGCGAGGGCTCGGATTAGTCGTGACGTCAATCCGAGAGAACTCGGACGCCTTTCGCCGAAATCGAGCTTGGAACAACTGGAGAATCTTAAAATATGAACTAAGAAAACGTCATTTCAAAGTCCACGATTCGACTGTTTTCAATAAAAAGCTTGCACTGAGAACTAAAAAACGAAGTTCGGATCCGTTTCGGATCGAGCAATTGAAAGAAACGAGACGCCGAGTTTCTGTAAATCGATTTTGTCGTTCGGGAAGCGCAACTTATACTGCTCGTTCGTTTTTGACGACTGAAAATGAGTCGACTTTGATGGCCGAAGCTACTCCGAGTACTTTGCTCGGAAACCAGCTGGATAATAACAACTCGGAGTATTCTGAGATTAACACGCCCCCGATGCATGATATAGCTGACTCTAATTATCAATTCACGCCGCGTCAGTTTAATTTCAGTAGCATAAGCGAAGTTGATGAAGCAAATGAACTAACTGTACATCTGTAAAAATGTTTAAAAGTATCTCAATTAATACTAGCATAAGTAATTAAATTTACAGCTTTCCAAAATTGATTTGTATATCGATCAATAAGCTGCCAGCTATTTTCGAAATGAAAAGATGCGAAGTAGTTTGCAGCTGTCGCTACGGCGCTGCAAACGATTTTTTTTTCTCTAAAATTAAGTGTCAATGAATATAGTAACGACACTTATTTAAATAGCGTATTATTTTTTTGACAGAAATTTTAAAATTTGATCACGATTAATTTACTTGAAGCTGTTTAACTTAATTTTTTTATTCAAAATAATTTGCTGAGAAGAAAAGAAAGTACAGTTTGCGCAAAAAAAAATTGAATGACTGTGTTTCGCAATTTGATTTTAATTTATAGAGTTGCCAGCGGGAAAACAAAGCTACCCATTCAAGTTTTTTAAAAAAAAAAGTTTCACTAGTTTTATTAAAAAGTCTTTTTTTAAAACTGAAAGCTCAAAAAAAAACGAAAAAGTTGTTTTATTTTTCTTTGTTCATCATTACAATTTCACTATTTCAAAAAATTCTTTTAATGTTGTTATTCAGCAATATCAACAGGTAGTTATTGTTTTTTTTGTATTTTTGTACGGCAAATCAAGTACCGCAAACAATTGGCCAAATGGTTCGAGTGATATATCATTTTAAGCGTTTTCAGTCGTAACTCGATTTAAATTTATAAAAAGTCGTGAAAGCAATCAAGCAAGCAGACTGCTATTAGGGTAGTAAGTTTATATCTGAGCCGTTAAAACAATTTGTTCAGTACAATTGGCTTTCTAAGCTTCTTTAAGCGCTTTTTCGCAACTAAAAAGCGGATTTTTTTTGCAACATTTTTTTTCTTTTTGTTTTCATTGGAAAACTGTTGTCAGATAAACCTAAATTCTGTTCCTCTGTTATTCAGATCTTTTCGTCACACCGTGAACGAAACAAATGATACAATTTCAAAAAAGAGCTTCTTTCAAGGTGGTTTTTTTTCTTTCGTTTTTCGAGGTGGTGAAAACTTTTTGTGCTAATTGTACAGCAAACCGCTATCTCCGTTGTTCTGACCGTTGAAAACGGGGAGAAGTTTTGTATTCGGGTGTGTCTAAATGTTTCTTTTCTCTTTTTAATGCAAAATCAGGTACCAGAAATAATCATCGGAACGAGTCAAGTGATATACCACATTGAAGCCCTTCCCAGTCGTGATTCAGCCCTTCCAGTCGTTTAAAAAAATTGTTTTAGTGTTGTGAAAAACTGCTTTCAAATTTTTGATTTTCAGTTCAATTTTGAGCGAGTAAAGCAATTGAGTAACGATTGTTATTTGAAAATTATTTTTATTAAAATTTTTCGGCTAAGAAACTTGATTACAGTAAAAAAAAAATTTGGATGTATAATTGTATAGTTTTCAAATCACACTACGCACTAAAACGGACACTAATTTAAAGAAAAGAACGAAAAAAAATACATTTTTTTTGTTTTTTTTTCTATGAATATGGTCAGAAGATTCTGTGCTACTTGCAGAGCAACCGGCTATCCTTGTCTAAGTTGGATTTATTTGAAATTAAGAAGGATTCGTTTGCACACTTATTGTTAGAAGTTCAATTTTTAGTGTTCAATATTAATTGAAATACTGGTTACTGTTTTGTGAGCCCAAGTTTTGTTCTTCAAATATGAGTCATTACGATGCGCTTCTGAGCATTTTATCCAAATAATTCGTTTTTAAACCATTAACATCCATTTGGAAAGAAATTTTTTGATTTTTGTATTTTTTTTTCAACAAGTTCAGTTAAATTTTTCATGTTTATCTTTTTGTTTTAGTTGTAACTAAATGTCGGAAAATAAATTTTCTAGTTTCGTTTGATGAATTTATTATTTTTTAGTCTTAATCCTTTTGAATGATAAGACGCTTTCATCCCTTATGAAAAACTTCTCTCCAAAAATAACCTTAACCTCTTAATATCACCCTACTCACTGGCTACTCAAGAAAAAAAGCAACGGTGAAATTTTACACATTGGATCAAAATTATCACTCAAAATTTGAAAGTAGCCGTGAAGTTTAGTGTAGCAAACTTTGATCCTACGAGTACAAATTCACCTAAACATTTAGAAGGGTAATCAATTGACATTAAAAAAATATGCAAAATGTTTGTTTTCTGCTGCCTAACAGAAGAAGCTGATGATGATGGCGTGTGGGGCTGTTTTGGTCGTGATTGTTGTCGCTTACCTCGCCAATTACTTCATGTAAACAACAATCAACAAACAAACACAATCGAAGGCCAAATTGAAGTCTACAATTACGCGCAAATCAACTTCCTACATTCCTGCTGCTATTTTCGATTCCTGCTGATCATTTTTGCTGCGCCAATTTGACCCGAAAACTGGGACATCCGATATTATCATTCCAAAAGTAGCCGGATCTACTGCGACCACCGCGTTGCCATTAGCAACAACAGCGCAAACGATACTAGCCATAATTTATTACATTCTCTACAGGTTTGTTTGATTTTCTTACAATTTAAAACTGTATAATTGAAATTTTAATTTAATTAGCGATGAAAATTTTTTCTAATTAATCGCCATAAGCAATGAACTTCGATGCTCGCTTTTTTGCTTGTATTCAACTTGAAACGAAGAATTTAACTTATAAATAGGCCTTTGCAGTGTAACCAAATCACCCATACTTTCCTTATTCTGATGTAATGATATTTTATTCACTTATGCAGTTCCTATAACTATTTTTGCAATTGCTATTCAAGAATTAAGCCCAAAAAGAGAACAGTGCTCAATGTAAAAACAATTGTAAAATTTTTAAAATCTAATTTTATACTTTGAGCGCTCACCTTCAAAGTGCAATACACATTTTCCAAGACAAACTTTTGTTTAAAAACAATAAAACTGGTGCGAAATCTCAATTTTTGGTTTTTGAATCCAACCATTTGTATGAATTATAACTAATCCGCACTGAAGTTTCTTTTCATAAAAATCTGCGTAATTTCGAATCCAAAAACGCTTAAATAGTATTCATTTTGTTGAATCTGAAAATAGGGTTTTTTGGAACTTTCCTCTAAAACTTCAGTCGCATCATTCTAAATTAATATGAAACTCCAACTCAAAGTTCTGATGCTTTCTCCTGGTTGAAAAATGATAGATGAACTTTGAAATTTGAAAACAATGGGTGACAGATCTGAACTAAATTGGAAACAACTTGACTTGAATTAAAAGCCGCATGTTTCAAATTCTATATCTGAGTTTGGTATAGAGATTTTCAACTTATTCAGTTAGTAACAAAAAACAAAACAATACTAAGCAAAACGATTGCTTTCGTATAGCTTCATTCGTCTTTTTGGCAAATTACAAAATTATCCTTAACGCTCTAATAAGTCTCACAGCCAATGTATTAGATCTTCATCGACCTGAGTTGTCGTTAAAAATTACAAATATTTCATTAAAAATTAATTACAAATAAATATCTAGTATTTAGTAAAATTAATACGTTAGTTGGGTTGAACAATTAACTAAGGAATAATTTTTTAAGAAAACCAATAAGGTAGGAACCCTAGGATCTTGAATTTGTTTTTTTTACCTTACATATTTTTTGCCCAGTGTGTCTTGATTGTATTACGTTAGCAATGCTTGTGTACGTCGGACAAAACGCTTGCTAGTAATAAAGGGTCCTTTCTACTTTCTATCAGACTCGATAATTATTTTAAGGGTTGGATTTGAGTGGAATGGTTGGTATTTTCATAGAGAAGGGCTGGGGCGACTGAAGAGAAAATTGTTGGACTGAATCTCACTAGTTTTTAGCTTCTCTTTATACTTCATTGGGAAATCTCCCAATTTGTCGTAGCAAATAAAAAGTTACTTGTTAACTGCGTAATCTCTCGTGACAGTCATTTGTACATTCGTATTTTACGAAAACAGATGTTAGTACATTCGTATTTTGCGAGTAGAGTAGCTAAATCAAGTAGATTATTTTTGTCCTAAAAATTTATTCTAAAACAAGTAGATTATTTTTAGACTGGGTTGGTAGGATGAGAAATGAGAGAAAACTATTGCAAACTTTTTGAAATAGAATTGTATTTTCCCGAATATACGGGCGTATTTGTTTTTCCAAAAATCAGGAGAATTAAACTGGTCTAAATATATAGTTTGAGTAGAGCCTAGTGGGCTATATGAGTCCAAGAAACGCATTTTTTGGGTATTTAGAAGAGATCTAGATACTTTTTGCAGTATTGCTTTCCTTTCTGAATTATCAGTAATCATATTTCAATTTTTTTGCATCTGAGCATAATTATAATTGAAAGCACCTTGACTGGATGATAATGAATGGTTAATTTGCTGACCTACCGCTTTTCGCTTAAAGCGATATGATCCTGTAACCCTTGTTATTTGGGGTGTTAAATCAATCCAAAACTTTATTTGAGGTGTTAAAGCAATCCGAGAGAACATATTTATCCTCCTATTTTGAGAGAAAAAACTAAAGAGATTTTCCAACTTGCCCAGCTAATAAAGCGAGGTACTTTTTAATCGAGCAAAGCTGTTTTCATTCAACCGGTGATCTTTAATCAATAATTTAATATCGGTAGCAGATATTGCAATTTTGGTAGACTCATTTTCGAGTCTGGCGTAATGAACATAATTGCAAATATTACAGTCTTACAAAACTAATAAAGTTTACACAAGCTTATCAATCATATCATAAATTCAAATAAATCAAATTTAAATTGTTTCCGAAAAGTTTTAATTTCAGTTCAATGTTTTTATTAATCACTTGACTTTCTTCTTGAAGGTTGTTTTTTGTTTCGAAATGATTTAGTTGAAAATGATTGTATAGTATACGTGAATGGGCAGGACTTGTTCATAAAAAAAGGTGTACTTTTTGTTTTGTTTATACTAAAAAATCAAAACTGTTGATAAGACAAATCAATCTATACGATTTCATAATAGCTATGCTACAAAGCTATAATAAAGTTTATGGATAATTTTTTTTACAATCGGGCTATAACTTGGTGGTTTTTCAGCTTTTAATGG